AACTGAAGCAAGAAGATGTAAAAATTCTGAATAATCCAGTATCAGTTACTGAGATTGAAAATGTAATTAAAAACTTACCAACAAAGACAAAGCCAGGTCCTGATGGATTCATGGCTGAATTCTACAAGAAATTTCAAGAAGATTTAATGCCAATATTCCTCAAATTCTTTAATGAAATTGAAAAGGGAGAAATACTCCCTAACTCACTCCTGGAGGCGAGTATTACCCCCAAAACAAAACTAGATGCAAAAACTAGATGAACTTGATAAAGTTCATCACAGATTCATGATAAAACCATACAGAAAATCAAAATAGATGGTCTTTACTTAAACCTCATGAAACTCGCCCGTGACAAACCAACAGCCAACATCAATACTAAATGAACAAAAACTGAACACTTTCACTCCAAAATCAGGAACAAGACAAGGATATCAATTATCACCTATCAATTATATTCTGCTTAATATAATTCTAGAATCATTAGCCAAATCAATTAGGGAAGACAGAGAAAAAGGAAGAAGTTAAATTATCATTATTTACAGGTGACATGATACTCTACATAGAAAACCCCCAAATCTCCATCAAATGACTCCTAGAACTAGTATCAAATTCAGTAGCACAGCTGTATACAAGTCAGCCCTCAAAAATCAATAGCATTCCTGTACACAAATTAACTTACTGAGAGAGAAATTAGGGAAACCATACTCCACAATAGCATTCAAAAAAAAATGAAATACTTAGGAATTAATTTAACAAAGGAAGTAAAGATTCTATATATTGAAAATTGCAGTACTATGAAAAAGGAGATTAAAAAAGATATCAGAAATGAAAAAATATCCCTTTTTCATGGATAGGAAGAACCAACACCATGAAAATGACACTTCCAAAATTGTTATACAGATTTAATGCAGTCCTAATCAAAAGACCATTAATATACTTTGCAGAACTAGGGAAGTCATTCCTAAAATTCATCTGAAATCAGAAGAGACCTAGAATAGCAAAGGTAATTTTGGTTAACCAAAGTAAGGCAGGAGACATCACAATCCCTGATGTGAAATTATACTACAAAGCTACTATAATAAAATCAGCATGGTATTGGCAAAAACCAAAACAAAACAACAATAACAACAACAACAAACCAGACCTGAGGATCAGTGGAACAGATCTGAGGATAAAAACACTTGAACACTTTAAGAAACAGGCCAAGCTTGTTGTCTGGAAGAAAAATACCTCTTTAATATATAGTACTAAAAAAGCTGGCTCTCTACATGCCAAAGACTAAAACTAGACTCATGTCTATCACCATGCACTAAACTAAAGTAAAAGTGGATCAAAGATCTAAGTATTAAAACAGAGACACTAATTCTACTGAAAGAGAAAGTAGGTACCAATTTTGAAGACATAGGTAGGCAGAGAATTCATGAACAAAATTGAAACATCAAAGAATCAACAACTGGAATCTCATTTTATTAAAAAGCTTTTGCATATCAAAAGAAATCACCAACACAATGAAAAGACAATCAACAGAGTGGAAAAAATTATAGCCAACTGTCCCTCAGATAAAGTATTTATATCTAGAACACATAAAGAATTGAAGAATATCAGACCACCCAAATTTGAAGATTCAATCAAAAAATGGGCAGCTGAGATGCACACACACTTCTTAGATGCAGAAATATAAATCACAAATAAATATATGAAAAAATGTTCAACATCATTAATCATTTGAGAGATGTAAATGAAGACAATACTGAGATTCCTTCTCACCCCAGAAAGAACGGCTAGCATCAAGAAATCAAATGCAGAAAGGGATGTGGGGGGAAAGGGACCCTTCTTCACTGTTGGTGGAAGTGTAGACTGATACAATCACTATGAAAATCAGTGTAGAGATTCCTCAAAAAACTAGCACTAAACATCCCCTCAACCTAGCTCTTCCCCTTCTGATTATTTTTCCAGAAGAATTAAAAACACATTATACCACAGTGATGTATGTGCACCCATGTTTATAGCAGCAGCATTTGTAATAGCTAAATCTTGGGAACAACCCAAATGCCTGAGAGATGGATAAAAATTATCTTTTTATACAATGGAGAACTACTCAGCTATAAAGAGGGATAAAATTCAGATGTTTACAGGGAAATTGATTCAACTTGAGACCATATTTGTTAATGAAGAGAAAAATATTATATATATATATATATATATATACACATGCACACACACACTAAACAGTTGAGATGGTATACTACTAATTGCTATTAGTTCATTGAAAAGAAATGTTTGTGTATATATTGGTTGCTCATTTTTTCATCCCTATATCTTGTAATATGAGCAACTAATTTGGAGATAATATGCAATGTATTAACCATTGTTACTGTCCTATAATATTATTTTGAAATTTTGTACCATTGTTTTTATTTTTTGTTCTTCTTTAAAAATACAAAAATACAAAAAAAAAAAAAACAGAAGTACCTCCTACCAATAGGAAGATGACACATCTTATTGTGTCCTCATCCTTAGCATTGTTCTGCACTGAAGGCCAACTTGAAGCAGCCCACATCGCAAGTCCAGTAAGATATCTAGAATTGGGTGCAAACGATCAAGACACAAAACATTCATTCAATAATTGTTCTTCAGTCCCTTCACTGTGCCTGATAGTAAACTGGAGTCTGACAATAGAAATATGAAAACACACAATATCCATTCAATAAAAATTTCAAAATTTGTATATCAAAAGTGATGAGGGGGCTGGGGATTTAGCTCAGCGGCATAAGCACCTGCTTTGCAAGCAGGCAGTCGTGAGTTTGATCCCTGGTACCGATAAAAAGGAAAAAGATCAAAAAAAAAAAAAGTGATGGGGGACTAATAAAGGAGATAGGACATAAAGGCAAACATTTCCACATGGCTCAGTCTCTGCCAGTGGAGGATTCATTGCAGGATATTTGAGGTCTGAGCAATTTTCCAAATAGAAAAAGCAGACTAAAAGCTAAAATCTATCCCACAGAAGAGAGAAGAGTGTATGGCCTGATGGAAAATTGCACATTTGCAATTATAAAAATTTCCTCATTCCTTGACTGAGGGGCTACATATTTTATAATCAAGGCACCTCTGAGTATAGATAGCAGCTCTACTATAAGCTTAGTAAATCACACTGAAGTGGAAAAACACCTACTTGTAGGAAAGTGGGGAATAATGTAACACTGTGATGTAAATAAAGCTTCCAGGGCAGTTTATGACTCATCATACAGGGGAGGATGATCTATGATAAACATGATAATTTAGTATTACTTCCTGTTATTACTGATTGTTTTTAACATGAGATTTTATTACTGATTCAATTCTCAAACTATAGTCCTATGAATACAGATTCTGGAATCCACTTGCAAGAATTTAAATTCCAGTTCTGTAGTTTATTTGGTCCATTCTTGGATCAAGGCATTCAATTTCTCCAATCCTCAGATTGCTGCTAGTTGTAAAGGGTCAGCAGAATTGTCCTAATTATGTGAGATATGACAGATAAATCATAGTACAATGCTCAGGACAGGAAGTCTCATAATTCTGTATACAAGTTAGCTACTATTTTACTTCCTTCTTTATATCATCACTGCTTTTATTTCTCTCCACTTTTAATTCTTTTTTCCAGTTATAAAAATAAGAGCAGGTTTTCAAATTTGGCAAATAGAGGAGGAAAAAAATAACCTGTACAACTACCTTAGCATATTATTCTGGATTAGTTCCTTACAATATGTTTCTGTTGTGGCACAGTATTTTTTTCATGTATAAACTTCAAATCACAGTTGACACCCTTTGCACAATGAAATTTGTAACTGGTATTCTTCCTTGATCATTATGTTGGAAGCATCATTCACATTATTGCATTAACCTTTCAGCTATAATTTCAAAAGCCCTATAAATGTCCATCAAAAACATTATAGACTTTGGGCTGGGGATTTAGCTCAGTGGCATAAGCACCTGCCTTGCAAGCAGGCGGTCGTGAGTTCGATCCCTGGTACTGATAAAAATGAAAAAGACAAAAAAAAATTGTAGACTCACAAATCAGTCTCTTTTCTTATATTTGGGTTGTTTTCATTTTAGAACAAAAGAGAAGTGACAGAAAAGGGGTAAAGGGAACCAAAATACATAGTGACTTGGATCTTTAAAAAAAGCACAAAATTTATTTCTTAGCTCATAAAATTAACTTCAGATCAGCATGAATTGTAAAGTTACCAAAGTGTGCCCACCAGATACTAACCTTTGTGCATCATAATTTTATAGGATACAGTGTATTTTTGTATGGAAAGTTGATATGTATATTCTTTGGTAATTAGCAGTTTTCTATTGAAAGTCATATATGGAATGTATATGTGTTCAGTTGTTAGCAAAATATAGCAAATTTAATATATGAGGCATGTGGTTTGCATCACTATTATGGAACTGAAGGCTGGATAATCTAATATTTTTGTATATGTAAATAAATCAAGGCCCATGAAGTGAGAAGGACCCATTTGAAGAGATAGAATCCAGGTCACATCACCCACATAAGCCAATGGTCCTTTGTCATAAAATTACTTTCCTTGTCCAAGTTCTCTCAACAATACTGATTCAACTTGCAAGTATTTTTGAGCATATACAATGTACTAGCCACTGTGCAGTCATAGTTTTATGTGTTCCACATTAGAGTGAATGCATGCTTTTTGTCTGACTAATTCCTCACCACTGGATTATCAGGTAATGGGTCTTTATTTTATCTCACTCAGAAATTGCACTAAAATAAAATAGACTTTATTCTGCTTGTTGAGTCAGATTTTTTAGGCATATTTATTACAGCTTACTCTGAGCTCCCAGCTTCCCTAACCCTAAGCTATCTAGTGCAGAAACAGACAACAGTTCTGAGATACAGGATGGAGGTTTGGAGGGCTTACTTAGGAACAATTTTTATGCTGTGTATAAGGGCCCTCTCATGTAATAACTTGTATCCTGTGTCTTGTTGTTATTTTCAGTATTCTCTGGGCCTCCGATTTGCAGTTCCTCGCCTGGAGAAAACAAACACAAGCACAAACTTCGATCTCCAGATCAGAAGGTTAGACTTCTGTGTACCTAAATTACAACAGCACTTAGGAGTGCAGGCACTCATGGTTAAAGGCTGCTTGTCAAGCTTTATATCTTTAAAGTTCTTCTGAAATTACCACTACATGGCCCTGTTCACCTTTGATTTTTCTCAATAATTTTATTTTTTAAAATATTTTAGGTTTTTGAAAACAGATTACATTATGTAGGTCAATTTGTGAGACAGAAAAAAATTCTGCAGAAAGTATAGATTTTACATGTGCAATCTCGAAATCTCTTAAATTTTCAAGAATGAATTAGTCTCCAATGGTTTATATGGGCATAGCATGGCAGTATGCAGATGACACACCATATTTTGAGGGTAGAACAAGCTAACATTGTTGTTAGATCTAATGAACTGAACTTGTAGATCACTGCTTCCTTTTTCTAAGGATCAGCTTGTTTAAGAGTTCAACTGTGGGGTAGGTGGATTTAGCTCAGCAGCACAGCACCTGCTTGGCAAGAACAAGGTCCTGAGTTTGATTCCTGGTCCAAAAAAAAAAAGAATGTAACTGTGACTTTACTCATCCTCAGTCTACGTTTTTGACCCTTCATAGTCACAACTAATATGTTTTGAGTGGAAAGACCCCACAGTAGTGAGGAATGCTGGTCAGAGCTTTTGAGCTATGAGCTTCAACTTGTTATCCAGTAATGGAATCAATCTAATGGCTCTAGACCTATGTGAAAAAGGGAAATTTAATAGAATATAATTTAAACTGTTTATGAAATTTTACAGTCAGGTTAATGTAAATGTGTTGACAAGCTATCTTGTGACATAGTTGTATTTTTGCAATCTCCAATTTAAAATTTTGCATAACATTGATATAGACAGCATGAAAACCTTTTATTGATATTTGTACCTTGTCCAATTATTTGAACTCTTGCTCTAATTACAGAAAAGACAGTCATGCCAGTATCTTCAAAGATGTTTATAAAGTTTTCCAGTACAAATGCAATATTATGAATCTCTAAATTTATCTCAATATCTGGAAAGACATGTAACCATACTTGATAACTTTTTGATTAATTAATCTGTGCACATTTTATTACCTTTTTATAGCTACATCAATGAAAAGTCTAGAATTTTTAAAAAACACATAAAATTATAAGAATGTAGCAGACCTTAAAAATATGTATCTGTCACAAACTACCTCTTCCCCAGCTTTCTAAAGAGGAAAGCTTTCTAACTGAAGTATCATTTTATGACCTTTTCTAGGGTTTTTTCCTTGAAATTAGTTTAGATAATTTCTCCTGCATTTTTAAATCATTTTTACTTTAATCAACCTAGCAGTGAGATATAGGCAAAATGAATTATTCTATAATAGCTCTTTATTTTATCAAAAATTAAATTAGTTCATTGCATCTACAGAAATATGCATTTTCTCCAAAAGCTCACATACCCCTAAATACTTTCATTTTGGAAATCTTACATTTGTATTATGAAGTTGACATGAATAAAATGCCAAAATGAAGGACTACTGTCACCCCAGAAGCTTGAAGTTTGTATTTCTCTCCATTGTTGTCTGTCCCATGAATTCTTAGTGGCAAGATTTGTGTCATTTAGAAGAAAAATAACACATCTTATAGAATGCATGACTTTTTTTAGAAAAAAAAATTTGGAACAAATATGCTATGCCAATTCATCAGTATTTTTTTCTCTTGACTGTAGATATAAATAAAAGATGTAAATAGTAGTTCACTCAACCAACGAAAAACACTAGAAAATGTTCTAAGTTCCATCCCCATATCCACCGTGTAGATCATTATTTAAAATAATGAGTCAGTAAATAAGTGTTGAATTTGATGGAATACAGAAATCACCACATTGTAAACATTTACCTTAAGCTAAAAATGGGTCATGTTATACTGTAGTGTACTCATGACTATTTAACATTATCCTAATTATATAGAAACATAAAACTGCAGGAAGAACTGTAACATGATTAAAACAGGACTCTCAAAAGAACGATTATACAGGTAAAACTGTTTGATAACACTTTTAAAATTCAAATGCTAAGGTGTTTAGAAGGTGAGTACTTATCTGTACACTTTCCTGGCAGTCTTTAAAGATACTAATGAGGGTTTAGATGGGTAGTTTTAGATTCAGTTTAAATGTATTCAAATCAAAAATAAAGTAAACCAAGTGTTTTAAAGTCTAAACTCTTACAACTATATATTGATTTCCATTATTCACATTGGTGCCCTGTTCCATAAATAAAAGCCAAAAGAAATATGGGCTTTATGAATTAATAAATTTAAAAATCTCCTGTTACCAAATATTAGCATGGAATGGTCTTTCCAGGCTCTCACTCTGTATGACAAAAACATTTTCCTCCCTGCGCAAAGCAGGTCTTCCACTGCACTACTCAGACACGCAGGCTTGGAAGATTACCCTTGAAGTAGCTTCCTCAGCAGTGCTGAAATAAACAGGACATTATCTTTGCTCTTTCTGAAGAGCACAAAAAACGAAAAGAATTTGGGAAAATAGAAAACAATAGGAAAAAGCAAAGGGCATTGGAGTGATAAGGTGAGACACATCTCTATTCTTCCTGTAAGACACAGAATTTAGTAGAGGAAATTCGCCATTGCTTGCATAGAAAAAGCACCAGCAGCATAAATAGCTCAGCCTCTGTGGCGATGATGGATGGCTAATGAATGGAGCCATGACATTAGTGAAGGAGGTTTCCTTCCAGGAAAGAGGTCAAGCAAGCATCAAAGTTGTACATCACCCAGAGACTGGTTGACAATAGCAGAAAGCGGTAGTGAGTATCATGCTCATCTATGTGACAGGAGCTAATTCTAATTTGCCAGACAAGTCTAGACTCCAGTTCTACCATTGCTCTTGCTGTGTTTCAGCAATTCTGCCTTGACTATTCTCATCTGATACTCAGACTCAAAGATGACTTCAGTGTTTGACATCTATTTACATTTTCAGGCTGTTAAAAGTAATGGAGATTGTGTTAACATTTGTGAACAAGAGGCAATAGAATCACTGTTCAAATAGTTTAAGTGAAACCTCTTTTCATAATTCTGGTGTTCATTGCTACAAAGCAGCAGTGAGCTAGAAATAGAACAAAATCTGTTTGATCTGCTGAGAAACTAGATTTAAATTTCCAAACCTCAGAATTACTTGTATTATATTTGGTACCAGTAAGTCTGTAACAAGTGGAATGATTTGTGATTGGTTAGAATTTTTAATCATGCCATTGCAAGAGAGAGAGGGGGAGAGAGACAGAGACAGAGACAGAGACAGAGACAGAGAGACAGAAATTTTTCCCCATGCGTGATAATAATAAAAGGAAATGGTCTAGAATGTGGGGTTCAAACCTTGGTGAACAAATCCCTCTGGGGACTTTTATGAGGTCAGCAATGATAAGTACTCCATGACAGGAAATGAGCCTGACATTTGTTGGTTACTTTTCCTATGTGTTTGCAGTCTAAGTTGCTTTATCTGTATATGCATTCAACTAGGGTTTTCCTAAAGCACTGTAGGAAAAACTCTGCCTCTTCCTCATCTGAAAGCAGAACTTGATCAGATGCTTTCTAACTCTCACATTTGGAAAGTTTTATAATCTAGTATGAAGCTAGCCTCTTCCCACTATCACAGTACTGGAGCTTATCCATTGAATCCGGGCAAGGTTCCACATCAAACAGAGGAGGCTTTCTTCTCTTAAAGAGACCTGAATCTAAGCAAGCTCTGAAGTGGCAATATAGCCAGGTGCTTGTTATTAAACACTATTTGATCACATGGATGACACTGATGAATGCACAAAGGGACAAAATATTTAAATACACAACACCTACATCCAGTTATTACTTGAACCACTTGGGAGGAATATTTTATTTTTCTTATAGCACTGACTGCTTAACCCATGAACTTTTTATTTTTTATTGTTTTTTTACACACACACTTTTTAAAGTTAAGTTTCCTATCTAATTATATTTGCTCAAAGAGATGAAACACCAAACTTAAGAATAATTTTGCCACTGTTCAAATAAATAGTGTTGAGTACACTTTCTATCCTGAGACTCTTGATGCATTTCACAAACACATCACCTCAGATTGCCTGTGGATGTACTGTTCAGTTTCTTTGAGTCTCATTTCTTCATGCCATAACTTGTGTTTCTAATTTATACCCACCCTGTACACTAGACAGTGTGCAGTGAATGTACTTTTTCTTTAAATATTAACTTAAAGAATAAACCATAAGGAAGATAAAAATTGCTCCCAAAACAATGTATGGCATGATACCTTTCAGAGCCAAAAGCAAATGTTTTTTCGATTATATGCTGTTCTGGATTATTCATGCCAAGTCTCCTCTTTATTAGCATGAAAAATCAGGAGTTGCCTGTGCTGTCCATTCCCGTTTGATGGGCCATGAACATGATATGCAGAGATGTTAAGGAATTTGTTTATGGTACAAGTCAGAAAATGAACTCAGCTCATTGCTGTTTTGGTTTAATCACTGAAATTAAAAGAGTTAGTGTCTCCAGAAATCTATTGTATTTCCAGATAAATGATCATGTAATACAAAGTTGTTTCATTACTGCTGATCATAAATGATCTTAACATTTCCTTGCAAAAATGGTTATGATTTTATGAAACGACTATACCATTGCTTTCTAAATTACCAGGTTAGGAATGTGTGTTTCAAATGTGATTCACAGAATGTTTTCATGATCATAAGGTGAGAAAATATACTTAAATTATGTTTCATTGTGTTTTAGTTCCAACAAGGACAATCCAGATAGCAATTTTGTGAGTTTGCAAATTAACATCACTGCTGTCGCGCAGGTGGAAATAAGAGGGTAAGTAATAAATGAAGCATTTCAGTAGCATAACAATAGTTCTGTATATGCAAAGCCTTACAGAATACTAGTAAAATCTATACAAAGTAGTCCTCCTGCCTTGTAAGTCACAGTTCTCTCTGGTTATCAGTTTTCATCTTTTCTATACATTTCAGCTTCTATCAGAAAGTATGGTAAACCCTGTTTATTAAATAGCTCTAAGGTTATCAAAACAAGAGATCCCTTAATTCCCCAAATGGATAGGTCAATGATCAAACTATAAAAACCAGTTGATGGTAAGCTAATACAATCAACAAACACATGAGTGCCTGGAAAAAACCAAATAATTATTTTAGCATGATGATCATTTAGCCTCACCCTACCATATCTTGGGTTTTATAAATAGCTCATAGATGGAAAGGTGTATGGGATCTACATTCCACAACTTTCCCCTTTGGTCTTTCGGTTAAGAGATGGGAGGGAAGTGCTCAGGAAAAGGCTTGGAATGACAATCAGCTGGAAAGTCCATTCCTGGGGGAAATGAAATCAGAAATGGATGTATGCGTACCTATCTGATTTTGTTATTGTAATTCTGCTTTCTTTAGAAAAAAACTGAAGACTTGACTAAAAATGTCAACAAGTATTTTGGACCAGATTGTCCCCGGTTTCTAGTACTCTGGCTCTCTTCCTGGTCTAGGTCTTGTGTTCCTGTGTGGTTGTCATTCCTCTGTGGGGACAACTGTGGAATTTGCACTGTCTCCATGGGCTCTCTTACTGCTATCCCATGAGGCTGTCACAAGGACCCTTCCTTGCTGTCTGGGTCCTACCAAGACTCACCCTAGTGGGCTGGGAAATAATAATGTTACCTAACACTTTTTGGTGCCTTCCATGTGCTACGCAGTATTAAGCACATTTTTTTTTTTAATCATAAGCTGTGCTAAACATTCTTTTTTTAATTTCCATTTTTTATTAGTAAATGTTTATAAAACATAATTATCACTTGCCTCAGGAGGAGTTAGTCCATGTATGTGGCACATCTTAATTCTGTTTCCATCCCCTTCCAGTCCTTCTTTCTCCCTCCATCTCTTGATCCTTTTCCCTTCCCGAAAGAGCTACTGGGGCTGGAGATTTTAGCTCAGGGGCACAAGCGCCTGGCTGGCAAGTGCTGTGTCGGGAGCTCGATCCCTGCTACAAAACAAACAAAGGTTGTTTGCAATTTCATTGCAACAAAAAACCCAAAAGAGCTATCTCCCCATCTCCTATTATTTACTTTTATTTTTCTCTTTATTTATATTTTGATTTCTTGTATGAGAAGCAATGTGATGTTTAAGCTTGTGTGGCTGATTTATTTCACTTACCATGATTTCAAGATACATTCATGTTCCCACAAATGACTCATTTATCATTTTTTTAGCACAGCAGTACTCCATTGGGTATAAATATGTTTTCTTTATCCATTCATCTGCTCCTAATTGTGGAAGTGAAGGAACTGTAGTGCAAGTTGAAGATTACACAGCTAGAAAACAGAGAGCCGGGATGCAAATGCATAAAACTAAGCTCCAAAGCTCTTGCTCAGAAATGGCTACCCTACATAGCCAGAGTGTTCTTTCCTAAATATATGTAAACACAAGTATATTTATGTACTCCTGTGACTTTCTATTGAAATGAATTTTTTGAAATTCACTAATTTTATTGCATGTACTTGTAGCTCATTAACCTTAGTTGAACAACAGTATAATACTGTAAAAAACACTGTGCTGTAATTTACCCGTTCCACGCTTAGTGAAAATTCAGGACTTTTAAAACTTTTGCAATGTGTTTCATACATATTTTCTGCTATTTACATGGAAAAATGTCAGCAGACTACCTGTTAGGAAATGGAATTTCAGATGAGTGTTCATACCATTTAACTTTGTTAATAATGCCAAAATCTTTTTGAAAATAGTTATAACAAATACACTCCCACAAGCAGTAGATGAAAGTTTCCTTTGCTTCACATTATTAGCTAACTCTTATGACAGTCCTGTTTTTAATTGTAAGCATGTCTGATAGTTAAGAAATAGTATGTTGGTGAAGATTAAGTTAAGAAATAGTATGTTGGTGAAGATAGTATGTTGGTGTAGTTTCCGAATTTCTTAGTGGAATAGAGATGTATTTCAAGTATATTTTGTGACTCTATTTGTGCTATTCAGGAAGTTTCTTGTTAATTTTTTGCCCATATTTCTCCTAAAATGATTGATTTTTTTCCTGCTAGCCCATATGAATTAATTTGTATTCAAGAATTTAGACACTGATCTATCAGCTAGACACGCACCAAGTATCTTTTCACAGTTTATGAGATCTGTGAGATTTGTTTTCAAAGTCCAGTTTATTGATATATAAATTCCTTAAAGTAAAATTCACTGTTCTGGCAGCCCAGTTTGAAGACTTATAACATCACAAGAAAATTCAGCACAGAACTGTACCTTCATCCCAAATGCTTCCTTTGTCATCGGACCTTCTCCCACCTCTAGATTCTGGAAACCTTGATTTATTTTCTGTCACTTTATTTTTCCTACTCCAAAATTCAGAAAGAGCCTGACTTTTTCTGTTTGCTATCATGAATTTGAGAAACATTCACATTCTTGAATGTATCAACAGCCAGATTTTTAAGGCTGATCATTATTCCACTGAATTGCTGTCCAGTGAAATATGCATTCATTCACAAGTTAGTGTTCATGGAGGTTGTCAGCAGTGTGGGCTGGTAAGAATAAAGCTGCTGTGCGACCATTCACAATTTCACACATGGAATTTCTGAGTTAGGTGGTCAATGTGTGTTTGGAAGCAATTATCTGAGTGCTTTTGGAGGGGCTATGCCACTTCCTTTTGCACCCTTTCTGACAATGAGTGAGAGTTCAATTGTGCTGCATCCTGACTATGCACCATTAATGACTGTATTAAGTCATTTTAATGAGTGTCATGAACCTCATTGAAATTTTATTTATTTATTTTATTTATATATTTTATTTATTTATGTTTGGTACTGGGAATCAAACTCAGGACCTTGTGTTTGCCAGGGAGGCATTGTGCCACTGAGCTATATCCCTGGTCCTTTCACTGAAATTTTAATTCCATTTGCTTAGTTAGGTTGAATTTCCTTTCGAGACTTATTTGCCTTCAGGGTCTCTTTTTGTTGAAGTATTTCCTTCCATCATCTATGCATTTATTCATTGGTTTGTTCAATTATTTAGTTGTACAATTACTTTATCTATTCAGGACACATCTCTTTTCATTTATGCATCTGGAAAATATTTCCTCCAGGTCTAAGATATGACTTTGCATTTTCTTAGCTATGTTAGCCAAAGAGCAAAAGTGTAACATTGCAATCAAATTCAACTGATCAGCTTTTTATGGTTTGTTTCTTCATGTGCTAGCTAAGAATTATTTGCCTTTCCAAAGTCATGAAATCTTTCTCCTATTTTTCTACTACAGGTTTGTTATTTTATGTTTTACATATAGTTCTATAATTAATTTTATGTTAATATTTTGTATCTTGTCGGAGGTAATGGCCAAGATTCATTTCTACTTATAAATACCCACTTGTTCTTGGAACATTTTGTTGAAAAGATTATTCTTCTCCCCCATTAAATTACATCAGCAGCTTTGTTGAAAATCAGTTCTTTGTATGCAGGATCTATTTCTTGATTTTTTGTTCTCTATTGATCTGTATGTGTCCTAAGACTTAACTGATCTACATGCATCCTAAGTGTTGAAATGGAGGAGTAAGCCCTGTGATTTTGAAAGATTCCTTTTTAGCATTTTTATTTGCTGATTTTCTATGCAACTATCATATTCTCTGTTAATAAAGACACTTTTATTTCTTACTTTCCTATCTGCATGTAGAAAAATTTGGTCAATGGCAATTAGAGAAAAGAGACCTCACAAGAGAACACCTTCACTTCTGACAACAACTGCAGGTTTGGGTGGTTCCTATGACTACATTTAGGTTAAAAAATGCATGAGAAGAACTTACAGAACTCACTGAAAGCCATCATATTCAGTTAGTTTATTGCAGGGAAAAGGCTTAAAATAAAGTCAGCCAAGAGAAGAACACTGATGGGAACTGGATGAGTACCAAACACAGATCCACTATCCTTGCCTGTGGACTTAGGAAGCATTACCATTTCCTGGTATTGATGCTTGACCACATGCATGGAGTCTCACCAACCATGGGTGCTCTCCCAGGCCTCAGTCTCACAGTTTTTATTAGAGCTATATTTGATTGATCTCAGTCTCTAAGTTGACTGAAATTTATTAACTAAAGCTCCCATTCAAAATCCCACTGTTGGTCTTTCTAATATGGACAACACTAACCCTAAATCGCATTGTTAGAAAATCCGGTAGGACTCAAGGCCTCAGGCAAACATGCACATTCCTAGCAGACATAAAATTCAGAAAATTTAGAGATCAGGCTCCAGAAGTTGAGGGCAAAGCCCAGACTTACTGTTGGCCAGGCTGCACATCTTATCCTCCTCTTACCATGTTCCCCACATTGGAGTTGAATATAATTTAATCAAATCAAATAAGAAAAGAGAACAACACAACGAGATGCCAATATAAAACCTGAGAATTTTGAGGGGTCAGCACATTGTAGCTGTGACCCAGAGTTGTTATGTAACAAGTAAAAGTGAAGGCTATATACGAAGGGCTTTATAATTTAGTAACATATCTGTGGATTGCCCATTTTCAAATATGCTTCTCCCACACGGTTCTAAAAAACAAATGCAGTCAAATTAACTTTGACCAAAAGCATTTGAGATATTTTCCAATCACTTACGGTAGACAACCCAAAGAGCTTATCACAATTTTCTAGATGAGTCAATGGAAACGGACCAACCCTAAATTATTTACCCTATGGCAGGAATTTAACCCAATAAATTCTATACTTTGGGCTTCAGAAGCAATTTTATCAGAGGAGGAGAAAAATGATCACTATGAAGTAATTATTGGATACCCCTATAGGCATTTGAGATATTTAACTTCCATAAGAGATATTTTCTGTTTATTTTTAGCCAAAGGTCTAAGGATTCTTTTAAGAATCCATGTATTCCTAAACACTGTTACAAAGCATTGGATTTTTTGATAATCATTCTTTTTATGCTTTATTTTAAATGTCAATTTGATTTATGGTCTGCTTTTAATGTGGAATAATGCTGTATAATGAATTTATTCATTCCAATGTCCTGGAGGTGTGAATTGCAGAAAAGTGTACCCAAATATTAAGTTTATCTCCTTTTAAATGATAACACCATTTAACTCTTTCTTACCCTTGAGTTATCTGTAAGACAATTCTAGGACTATGTCAGGCTTTATTTTCTTTTAGCTCTGCACCTGCTCTCAGGAGGTCTGGTTGCACTGAAGAAAGCCAAAGAAATTATCTAAGAAGAGCTATATGATGATCACTTTTCTACTCTGAAGTTTTTAATTGGAAGCATTATTTCTTTACAACTAGATAATAAATGTTATCACACAGAATTATTAGATATTTACACACACACACAAAGGTCTCATTTCTTTATATTTCTTAAAGGGAGAGTATGCAGTCTGTATACACACAGATGTGCATACACAAACACAGGCTAGATAAATGTATATATTTATGTATGAGTATGTTATTCAAGAGCTGCTCTCTGCTCTGCCCCCTAGTGTTAAAGAAATGAGATACTATAAAAAAATCGATTCGAACTAAAGACTACTAATTAGAAGCATTCAGTATATGTTTCATTATCATTTTAGTCATTTGTTAAACTTCAATTCCAGAATTTTCTCCATGTAGGCAATATATTCTCAAATACATAAAGAGACATGTGTGTCTCCTGCTGTCAGTGTGCACTGAGGTGAAATATTCCTTACCTAGGCCCTTATCAGTAATTAACCCACCATTTTATATTCCAGAGTATCTCACCCTCAGCAAGTTGTTCTGCCCATTCATAACTGGGAACCGGAAAAGGAGCCCCACAAAGAAGAGGAAGTTGGACCACTGGTGGAACATATTTATGAGGTAGCTCTCTTCTATGTTTAAACTGTGTTAGGGTTTTATTCTTCTGCACTTTGCTAATTAAACATATAGCATATTTTAAAACATCAACCCAATGTCTACGCTTTATGTGCTGCCTAGATGCAAGTTATTATGTTCTCCTATCTCAGTGGGTGGTGTCAGTACTCATAGACTTGTTCACTTGCTTCTTGGTGGTGAGAGCCATTACATGGTAGGAAACATTTTATTTTGTACTGCTCTTCTAAAAGAATTTTAGAAAATTCTTTCTTGTCTTCTTTAATATTTGGACAGCCCATGCACAAAAATGACTTGCTTGCTAGACTTCTTTTCAGTTCTTTCCGCATTTTCAGACATCTCTAAACATCATCTATTTCTTAATCTGAAAGTCACCAACTCCAAGGCACTTGGTAGAAACTTTAATGAATGTTTTTCTGTTGTGCAGAAAAAAAAAGTATGTATAAGATGAGTGCCTGGCAAAGAGATAAAAATAATTTTGCTTTTCAGTATCATAACCCAGCTTAGAAATACATACCTCATTCTGAGATTGGAAAGAGTACATTGCTTAGTAATATATTTTCCAGAAGCAGATAAGTGAGCCTTTAAAATCTGTGAAAATATTCTGATTCAATCAGACTTAAAGCAGTCCTGCTTTTAAGTTTAGCATAAATTGATTATAAAAGGTTAGGATAATTACCAGTTGTACTAAAAGTAATCTTCACGTTTTTTACATGTTAATTTCATGTCTCAAAATATACTGATTTATTAGATGCCATAGCTCTTTGATCAGTCACCTAATAAACAAAAAAAATTAATTATTCATAATTGCTACAGCTGTAAGGGAGAAAAAGATCCCTGTTAATTCTGAAGATAATTTTAAAATCCACAATAAATTGTGAACACAGTGTTTTCAGCTTACCGTTTAGTGCGCTGTTAGTATGGAATTCATGCATGAAAACTGTTCATCTTTTTATGAGATATGGCCCTTCTTACCTTGATATTAAAACAGTAGAATCTCTGCTTTGAAACACACCCTGGAAGTGAATAGCAGCAAGCCCAGATGGGCTTTGACACTTGATGGAGGTCTAGTTTTTCAAGGGGTGAAAGAGAGTGCATCGCATATGGTTGCAATTGACAAGTCAGTAGTCAAGAGGAGGCAGATGCCAGTGGAAAGAAAGAGTTACTGAGTTTTGAAAGCATATTGTTAAAATTGCATTTCTAGCGCTACTATTAAATTAGTATAAAGTCATGGTAAATAGACATAGTTAATAAAGGTTGAATATCCTTAACCTGAAAACAAGTACTATGCTTCAAATCCAAAACTTTTTAGCATGACACAATGCCACAAATAGAAAATTCCATATCTGATCTCATGCTATGGATTATGGTGCAAAAGAACAGCACATTAAAAACACTGTTTAAGATGACCTTCAGGCTATGTGCATAAGATATATATGGAACATCAGTGAATTTTGCCTTTAAACTTGAGTCTCATTATGTATATACAAATATTCCGATATATAACATCTGAAACAGTCCCAAGAATTTTGGATAATGGCGCCCGATCAGTATTAGCTTCACTGAGGAAATCCGCTTTCAGAGATCCTCAGGCTGGAGTCTTCTCCAAACACGGGCACATCCTGCTTTCTGAGTTCTTCCTGCCCATTTGGACTCTTCTTTTACTTATTTTCTTATTAAGAGTCATAATCCTAGTAACTTAACACCAAAAGTAGATGCATTCCAAAACAATTCCAGGGTATGGAGAGTTGGATTTCATCTTCCTGTCATTTCATAATGTGTCACTTGCCTGCAGCTGCACAATATTGGACCAAGCACCATCAGTGACACCATTTTGGAAGTCGGCTGGCCGTTCTCTGCACGGGATGAGTTTCTCCTCTATATTTTTCATATTCAAACTCTGGGACCTTTGCAGTGTCAAACAAATCCTGATATCAACCCACAGGATATAAAGGTATGAATCCAGTCAAGACAGTAGTTTTATTATTTTTATGGTAAGAAAAAATGAAAATTATGCCTTTTTAAAATAAAGTAATTGTAAGTTCCTTCAGTGATCATTGACTAGACTTTTTCTTTTAGTTCTATAATGTGCTGAACTCAATTTTAAAAATTCCCAGAAAACTTAAATTTCTCCTAGTTTTATTGCTCACAGTAACCTGTCATTTATTTAGCCCATTTCAATATACACCTTCTATATATGGTTTGACTACTAGCATAACCAAGCCAAAATCATAAATAGATATGTCATGCTTTGGAGAATTAGTACCAAATGTTATTTTTAAAGTCTTGTTGGTATATTGACAAAAGGCATGAGGATCTTGGGCCAAGTGGGATCTTCCAGCTGGCACCAAGAACAAGTAAGTGGTAAAATATGAGAATTTACCAAAGGTTGACTCAATGCCATGAGGACTCCACTGTAGTGAAGCTCATAGAAAAATCTGAAGCCCTACTGCCTTAAAATGCATATGAATCACCTGAGTGGGTGTTATTAAAATGCAGGATCCAAAAGGAGCCTGCAATTAGTATCTGAAAGCGATGAAGTTGTTGAACCTCTATAATTCCAGCATCCTGGGAGGTGGGGGCAGGAGGATCATGAGTTGTAACCCAGTTTGGGCAATTTGTCCCAAAACAAAATATTTTAAAAGAGAAGAGGATCTAGATCAGTACAAAGGGTGCAGGTTCAATCCTCCGTACTGCAGTAACAGAGTCCAAACCTCCCATGCCCACGGAACTGACCCTATCCAGATGAAGATTCAGTCTTGGCTTAGGTTCCTTCTGAGAGGAAAGAAACAAATTATTCTAAGCCGTTGAAAGTGTCACAGTTGACTGAAAACCAAAACAAAACTTTGAAAATCAGATGCTGTCCTCAGAAGACAGCTTCATTGAGGAACCAACATTCTCCTTGTAGCTGCAAGGACACAATGCCAGTATTCCACATGTAGACTCTGCAGAGTCCTAACTCTGCCATCAAAGACCCCAGGCTATCCATTCCTTCTTTCTTTGATCTCTAAGGACAGTAGCTTATTATAAAACTCATCTTCAGATGTTAACATGAAACATTTAAGTAACTCGGTCTTCTTATATCCTGCTCTATTTAGCATGTACTATATTTTGGTATGAATTCCTGAAGTATGTGATTATGCAGAAAGCTTTTCTCTGAGTGCAATGTTTAATTTATATCTAATTTATTAATTATATATATATGTATATAAATAATTTGTAATTGTGTACCTTGTTCATTGTGAGTTACTTTTTCGGTGGTAATTTAACAACCATTTACAGTGACTGAGGCATTCTTGATAGATAATTTTCCTGAAAGGTCGACAGATTCCTGTAAACCAACTGGGAATATAGTCTGAGCACCTGGCAATGTCTGCTACCCAATTATTGTTTAAATTATTCATAAACCTCTATTAAAAATCAGTCTGAGGTTAGGAATTTTTCAAATACAACTTAAAAAACAAAACTATCAGTCTGTAAAATCTGAATGTTAGATTTGGTTATATTATGAACTAATCATAACCATGCATAAATTGTTGAAATTTTGAATTCATAGAAAAATTGAAATGACATTACTTTCAGATTCTCAATTATTCTCAATGTACATATTTTAAAATGAGATATTTTAAATTATATTTTAAAATGAGTCTAGAAAAGCTCTTACTAATAAGTAGATTTTAGATAGATAATCAGTATATCAGTAGTTATATACAAATCAGAAAAATTGAATATTATTTTTCTCTTTAGATAGTAAATTTACTTGTGTAGTTGTTAGCTTACTTGGCAATTGATATTTCCTAGAAGAAACAAAGATAGGTAATCTTTGTCTCAAATACAAATTAGAAATTAGTGAAAGATTGTAATATTTTTGTATGTTGTTGTCAACATGACAAGCCTGGGACATTTTAAATTGTAATATCAATTTTAAGATTTTAAACATTTGCATCAAGTTAACTAATTTAAAAATGTGGTATACAGATGATTTTTAGTAAGAAGCAAGGGAAATGAGTTTAGTAAAAAGAACAGAGAGGCAGAATTGTATTTGTAAAGGCAAGAATTAAATCTCAGCTCTTAACAAGTGGACTACAGTATAATTCCTTGCTATTTGCACCATGGTTTGTGGTGGGGTTTGTCTTACCCAAAGCGAGTGTCTCAGTCTGGCTCCCAGGGTGTTGAGAAATGATGGGACCATCAGGAGTTGTTTGAATCTTGGGACTCCGTGCTCATGAAGGGATTGATGCTGCTCTCCCAAGAGAGAGTCATGTGGAGCTACAATGGTGACAGCAGGTCGTCCTGAAGGAGAGCTTGTCTTGCTTCTTCTCTCAACACGTGGTCCCTTCATGAGCTCAACTTCATGCTCCTGGACTTCCTTGCCTAGAGAACTACAAGCTAAGATCAACTCTCCTTTGTAAGTTAGATCACGTCAGGGATTCTGTTACAGCATCAGAGCACGGAGTCAGAGCACTCACTCTGTAGTTTCCTTCTGAGGAGAGGGAGAGGAGAGAGAAAACCTCTGCATCCATTAGCCATCCCTCTCCTCAATGCCCAGGCCTAATAGAACCACTCCACACCAACCCTGGGCCTGTCATAGAGAAACGTTTGCCCCAGCTTTCTGAAGTTGAGGGACTTTTCATGGCTCTTCCACCATAGTTTCCTCTTCAACTACTCACTGGATGCTCTTTCAGCCAATTCCCTTTTTCCTGGGTTCAGGCACACATTTTAGTCAACTTCTCCTTCTCCTTGATAGTCTCATCTTGCTTACTTACCATGGAAAAGAATGCTCTTCTCCATTCTATCTCTACAACCCTCTCACAGATTTCTTAAAAATCCTACTTTTGAAATAGAAGCCATTTCTATTTTCTTGGAAGCATTTTCTGGGGCACTCATTGCAAGGAGCCTATGCTACCGACTCTGAAGCCTCTATCCCAGATAGCCCCTCAGAATCTCTATAAAGTTTCTGCATACATCCTCATTTCCCTCTTCTTAAGTCTCTTTCCACCTAAATATGATCATTAAAGAGAATGAGCTACACACAATGATTTTTTTCTACTTTTTAAAATTATTCATATGGCCACAGGCCTGGATATTATTATTTTTATTGCAAATACAATTTTATGGCATCAAAACCATATTGAGGCTTAAGTTGGGTGATTTCTTTTGCAATGGTTTGAAGACTCAACTACCATTTAAAACATCATTTTTGAAGAGAAATGTATTCTGAATGCCAAACACTGAGCCTGACTCATCTGAAATGTAACCCATCTACCAATTTAAGATGTGTTCCAAAGGCAATAAAGGCTCAATGTTTCCTCACATAACTCTTGAAACCCAATAAGAACACTACGAGGTTTAGTTTTCACAGTAATAAGTGGTTCAGATCAGTTACTCAAACGTGTTACCCTAATGTCTCCTAGATTTCAGGAGAGTACAGGGACTGCCTGTATGAGCCACCAGCATGATGATTCTAACCTGTAGCTACTTCAGGAAACAATGGGCAAAAGTGCATCTACCACTAACTTAAGGCAAGGCAAGGACAACTATACACACAGATGTTACTAGAAGATGTGTGTGTGTGTGTGTGTGTGTGTGTGTGTGAATGTGTCTGTGTGCACATGCATGTGTGTGCTAACGTACACACCTATCTCATGTAAGGCTTCATGGGAGATTCACTCAACTTGGTTTTTCAACATTGTTCAAACTTCGGTCCCAGAGTTGTGAAAGTATCATGTGAGTATGGCTGTAGGAAAGGAAGGGCTCCACAACCTGCCAGTTTCTCACTAGCAGAGATCAAGAGCCAAGAGAATTGGGCAGTGGGGTGAGGGAGTGCCTGGGACTTATCCTCCCTTACTTTTACATTGGTCTCCCAGTGTAAAGGTGTCTGCCTTTGGGTTTCATCTCTAGCCATGATGGTTTCCACATAGCCACACCCAGTCGCTGTCTTCTGTAACCTCATGGGCATAAGCAGATGTCCCTAGAGGTTCTGTCCTTAAGCTTGTTGGTCTAGGTAAGAAAGAGAGGGAAAATTTCAACGTTGTGGTTTTTCCTATTCTACTATCTGAAACATTTTGAGACATTCAGCTGTCTACAACATTCAGACCAATTCATTAAATCTAATTTGTTCCAGATCCTTCTTGGAATAAAATTTTAGAGTGGGGTAAAGTAGTTCTCAACTATACTAAAGGAAGTAAAATAATTATTTCAAACTATCAATTTTGTTGTTTTAGTAGACTTTCTTCTGGGGTTTGGAAAGCCATTCAAACAGGGATGATCATTAGATAAGATGAGGTTGAAAAAGTAAACCGTACCAAAGAACCCAATGTTTCATTGCAAAGAATTTTTTACACATAATACACAGCCAAGTGTGAGATTCTGAGGGAAAAGCTGTGGAATGAGAGGCTGTGCCTAGGAGGCTGTGCCTAGGAGGGCAAATGTGATGCCCAAATGTCAGCTGTGTTAAGAGAACAGCACCATGTTCCAGGTTTAACTCAAGCAACAGCCCTGAGATAAAAATGATTTCACAGAGACCAAACCAGGAAGACTGCTGATTGTGAGAACTGTCACTAAAGCTATGCGAAGTAGGAGGTCGCCACTGAGTCTGGTCTCTTCAATAAGACCAATCCCACAGGAAATCTAAATTACAACCAAATCTCACAAACATGAACAAAAAAAGCAGAATCAGTTTATTCGTCAAGGATTATAACCCTGCAAATAGCTTTTTTAGAATCAAGTGGGTCGGCAGACAGTGGCTTGGCAAATTTGCCTAGTTTGTTTTATCCTTAAGAGTACTTTGCTCTTTCATAAATGCATCTGCTTACTGGTTCTCATCAATTCAGAATGAGAGGACACTAGTTAGTCTCCAACAACTCTCACTGATTCATTGCCTCCTCTGTCTGTCTCTCTTTCCTCCTTTTTTTGTCCACACAGACAACTTAAAACTCAAGACAGAAAGGAAGA